ATCTGTGCTGGTCGCTGAGGAAATACATCAGCTTCGCGCTGTGGATCGCCGGAGCGGCTTTCACCGTGGACGAAGTGGAGTCCAGCCCGGAGTCGTCACATGTGGTTGCCGCAAGCCCGCCGGCCGCGCCGTTCTCTAGTCCGCCTGCCGCCGCTCACTCAAGCTCAAAAAATAAAATATATTAAAGAATTTGGAGAAACAATAATGTACAGTATGTGGAAAATGTGTTTTTTGAACCTTAAACCGCATAAACACATTTCATTACACCAAATACACAAAATAATGTTATTTTTAGCAGCATCATATGACCCCTTTAATGTATCCTTGCTGAATAAAAAAATTATTTCTTTTATAAAAATTCTTACTTCATACTATGTTTATGTGTGTACGTGTATTAAGTATTTAAGAAATAAATTAATTTATAATAATTTAACAATAATTGCCACTTGGTTTGACATTTTCTTATATAATGCAGTGTCATTACATTTTTGATGTGTGGGTGGGTTAAGTGTCCAAGTACTTTGTAAGATCTGTAAAATACCTCGATATTCAGCAGGTTCTTCCACAGCAGCCTGCAATTCTACTTCTGTGTGGCCTGTTTTCTCTCTTCAGCCTCAGTGTCTGGTGAACTGTGTGCTGAAGTCATTTCTCCTTTATTATTATCTGAGAGAGAACGAGAGCATCCTGTTATGATCATTGCCATGGCAACCAGTCGCATAACAGGGAGATTTATAAGGCTTTGTTCCTTTGTTTTTGCAGCTTCTTTTCAGGCGAACTTCAGTCAGTATCTCTCGACAGGATCTATACTCCCTCCTAACTTGTGAATCATATCAGGAAACTTTCACTAAACTTTGACCGTGGAGACTGGTGCATGGCTGTAATACTGACAGGGTGGTACCATACTGATACCATGCTCTCCTCACTTCCTGTATCTCTGTTACCATGACTTTCAGTGTCTCAGTTTACACAGACTTTACGATTAATGCTATTTTGAGAGACGCAAAGAGCCCCAAGACAGTCTCACTCCTACTTTGTATCATTGCACCCTTGGTGGAATGTGTGTTGGATTTGATCAAAGGAATGCAGCTCAAAAAAAAAAGTCCCAGAGCAATTTAATCTGTAGGTAAAAAAGAACCAAAGTGAACACAGAGGGATTGATTCTTAAACTGAGAATAACTATGAAGTGCTCTGTGGACACATGAACTGTAATAGGATATAAAGCATATACAGATCACAGCTCAGTAAAGCTGCTGCGGCTTAAAAGAGGAGTCTGCTGATGTCATGTTTTGTGCTTTGAATAAAGGCCTTTGCTGTGATAAAACAGCATTCTGAAGGACTGGGACAGATCTGTTATTATTAATACTATTAAGTCAGATGTTTTATTAGGCACAGATCAGCAGAAAAAGAAAAACCTGTCATCATTTTCTCCGCCTTATTTTGTTTCAAACCTGTCTTTCTTTTTCGTGGAACATAAAAGGAGCTGTTAGGCTGTTCATGTTGCTATTTTCCGTGTCCAAAAATGGCAAACACCTTAAAGGTGACATATCATGAAAAAGAGATATGACTTTTTCTGAGTTTAAGTGCTAGAATCGGGTCTCCGGTGCATCTACCAACCCAGAAAACGTGAAAAAGAACAACCCACTAAATTATGTTTGGTAAGCCTTAGATTTCTCTCCCCCTGTGACGTAGAAAGGACATCTTATAATATTATAGCAAACTTGTATTTGACAGTTTAAGTGCAATTAGACATGAAAGAGAACTTAGTTTAGTACTCACATGCCGTGTGACAGCCGCTTTCTGTGTGCGTGCTCAGAAAACTGTATATCAGAAGCATATCATGATTTCAGCACCATAGACACGATAATCAAAACCAAACAGATGTTTTTTTAGCAGAGTATCTGAGGTATGAGATGTAAAGGCGCAGCTCTATTCTGGAAAAGGGGGCGGGGAGCAGCAGCTCATTTGCATTTAAAGAGACATGCAGAAAAACAGCGTGTTTCAGCTTCCACTCAATTTAGCCATTTTCAAAATTATATAATAAATGATCTGTGGGGTATTTTGAGCTGACATTTCACAGACGCGTTCTGGTGACAACTGATTCTTATATTACATATCGTAAAAAGGGGCATGAAAGGTCTCCTTTAAAACTATTTCAAGTCTGTTGAAATCATATGATCTCGTGTTAGAAATGGACCGAAACTGAAGTCGTTATTTTCTTAAAGTCTTTGACATAGCTGTCAAATCTCATTCATGACATTTGTCAATGACATCATTTGTTGTTATCAAAAATAGAGATTCCAAAAGAGCGTTTCTGCAGCCATGCCATAGAAGAACCATTTTTGGTTCCCCAAAGAACCTTTCAATGAGGAACCATTTGTTCGTAGTGTGAAGAACATTTTAAAAATCTGAAGAAACTTTTGTGAAATGGAAAGGTTTAATAGATGTTAAAGGTCCTTCATGGAACCATAAATGCCAAGAAAGAGTGTAGCATGAACCATGACTCTCATTTTATGATTCTTTTTCTCATTTTTGGACTCCCTGGTGTCCATCCACTTTTATGGTATGGAAAATAGCAGTGTGGACATTCTGCTTAACATCTCCTTTTTTGTTCTTCAGTGCTAAGGAGATCATACAAGATGAACAAACGAAGGCAAAAATTAAATTTTTGGGTGAACTGTCCTTTAAACGTCTAATTGCCTAATGCAGTAAGTTGTTGTGCTTCTATACAGGGAGAGCACTAACTTACTGCATTAGGCAAATGTGACTGTGACATCACAAGAGAGTAATAAAAGCCCATTTGCCAGCAGAACTCAGCCAGAACATCCATCCATCCAACAAAGAGTGGTCTTGTCCTGGAGTTACGGTGCAGCCACAGGAGTATCGGTGAGTATCCACTTCTTTACTTGAGACAAACTGTTACCTTAGAAGTTGATTCTGTGGTGTGCCGTGCACTGAGTAGAATCTATAGTTACTTGGATTTGAATCTGAACACTTGTCGATTGAGACAATAAGCTTTCTGAGACAGTGGAGAGATGTTTCTTATAGTTGTTGTTCATGTTATTTGGATTCTGCAAACATGGGAGAGGCAGTGAGCCACAAGGAAATCAAGTGACTTGCCTTAAGTGTCAGGGTGATGGATGCAGCACAATGGTGCTGTTGTGGAGGTTTAGGATGGGATGGTCTTGCACGGGGAATCCTGTCCCTGTCTGCACACACTTTGCAGAGAATTTAAAGAGGAACTGTTAAAAGTCATTAATAATAAAATTATTAATGCTACTACTATCCCATTTAACAACAACTGTCTGATATATAAACCAGAGACCTTACACAGATAAAAACCTGGAGGAAGTTTTAATTTTGAGCTACGAGACAATGTAATATGAGCAAATGAATCGTCTGTTCTAGTCTGTCCCAGGACAGGGTTGAAACAGTCACTGTATAGCAGTGGTCGCCAACCCGTCGATCGCGATCGACTGGTAGAGCTTTATCACTGTCCCAGTAGATCCCGAAAATAACAGTAAAATAAGTACAAAAATGCATTACATTTCTGGGGTTATATTAATGTATTACTGAAGGGAACTGTCTTGAGAAAAGTTTCGATGGCAATGGCATTTTCTTCTCCGTATAAAGCGCAGCTCTGCTTTGTTTACAGCGGTAA